GTACTGGACAATGCAATTGTTAAGGTGCTGGTTTTAACCCTATAACATCATTTTGGGTTGGGGGTAGATAATCAGGATGGAGAATATTTCTGTAGATTTAAATGACTTTTGTGTAGATGTTGAAGAAGGACCTGTAACTGTCACTGGTTTAGTTTGATTGTTTTGTGCCATATTCAGAAGACGTGATACGTTTAGAATACTTGTAAGGAATGGGAAGGAGAAGGGATCCAACGCTTCACAACGAGTGTTGACTGGCATGAATAACGATGGCTTGTGTGATGCATACAAGAGCATAGGATTATGTGGCAGATATGCTTTGCATTGATGTCACGCAACTAGATAGTCCAATAAACGTCTGGTGTAGTCAAGTCTTCCAACACACATTACAGTCTGGTGTATTCAAGGGCTCAAGTACACATTAGTCTGATGTATTCAGGGTTCAAGTACACATTAAAATCTGGTGTATTCAGGGTTCTAGTACACATTAAAGTTTTGTGTATTCAAGGATTCCAATACTCATGACAGTTTTGTGTATTCAAGGGTTCCAATACTCATGACAGTTTTGTGTATTCAAGGGTTCCAATACTCATGACAGTTTTGTGTATTCAAGGGTTCCAATACTCATGACAGTTTTGTGTATTCAAGGGTTCCAATACTCATGACAGTTTTGTGTATTCAAGGGTTCCAATACTCATGACAGTTTTGTGTATTCAAGGGTTCCAATACACATGACAGTTTGTGTATTCAAGGGTTGTTGTGGACGTTTTATGGCTGCTGTAATGGACAGAGAATAACAGTCACTGTCGATATGGGTCCCTGCAGGTAGATCTCAACTGATAACATCATTATCACAACTCATCTGCATTATGGTTTTATGATATCATTTGTATGTCATACTTTACCTATTGTAGACAATAGACATTAAGACAGATTATTATAGGAGTATGCATATCATACTGATTTATATAAAGTTATTGTCAGAATTCTTCATTTCCTGAGGGAGTGCAGGCCAATACGTGAATGCCTAAAGAACTTTTGACTCTGTTTCACAGTCACTTGTAGGTCCCCTGTAGAAATGCACTGATTGTGACTCTCTATTGTCAAATGACGTCAGCATTCCTCTGTAATGATGTTGGTCCTAGCATGATATCATTCTTATCTTCCATCATGATAAGATTCAAGTGCTGTCAACACTCTGGTACATGTGAAGTGTTATTTGGATTAGTATATGATGTTTATGAACCTGTTTATTTCAAATCCTGTGGGTAATAAAACTAGTTATTACCTATCATGGGACTGGTGTGTGTGGGTGGGATGTGTTATGTTCTATCAATAGAAAGATGTGGGAGGCTGAGCCATCTCGCTGGCATGACAAGGGTGGACCTGTAGCTATACTTCAGCTACAAACATAAGCCAGTCATATAGTCAGTCAGTCAGGAGGCTGAGTGATGAGACAGAAATGATAAATCAGGAAATGAGAAATCTGCTTTTGTCTAATCATTGTGGGAAAAACCTATGTGCATGTGTTCTGAGTCACGGACAATTTTACAAGGAATTGGAAGACAACGTTTAACTTGAAAATACTGAGACTGATATAGATTCCACCGGTACTAATATACTTCGTCATATACTCCATGTCTTCCCTGTCTGATGTTGGCTGGTGGTCCTCCAGGAAAGAGGAAGCGAGTAGGAAGTAGCATGTGACTGCAAAGTTCACTATACACCAAACAGGGGATTTGAAGAGGTGTTCAAGAAAACAAAGTTGCTGTATAAAAACCCGATTAACTGCTGATGGAGTATGTTGTGTGGTCTTGCATTCATAGTAAATGAATGAGTCTTAAGTATGTGGAAGAGCGAAGGAAATGGTTTGGGGGGGGCTAATTGGGAAGGGGAAGTGTGTAAGGGTTATTGAAAACATTACCACAATACACATGGTCATTCAGGGCCATGAACATTATTCTATTTTAAATTCAGATATTGGAATATTTTCAGAGTGTGAAAAGCATAAGACATTTTGGTGATAGGAAAGGAATGTAAAAAAACCACTCCTGACATGTGGGCGCCATTTTGGTGTATACTGACCCAATAAGGTTTTCCTTAAAGGAGTACCACAAACACACATGCGAAAACAGATATACTTAATGCTCCGAGCATACATGTGTATGGAATTAAGCGCTATACAAGCAACCTTATTATTATTATTATAATGGAAAACTTTTGTTAAACACTGCTAACTTTATCTTTGAAATATTGTTGATGATACCAAACTAATTGCTGATACACTGGTAATTCAGCATCCTACATCCATATAATGACTGAGGATTATGTAGACATATTGCCTATTGTCATATACAGCCAGTGCTATGCATGGTTGGGTGGCAGTGATGAAGGCTGGATATAATGCCTTTCAAGTTTGATATTTACAACAAGATATAGATGACAATTATCAGTGACTGTTAGATTGACAATGGACTTGAAGCCATTTGCTGTTGACATAGTAGATATATTGTACTTATATTTGTATGTATGCAACAGTTGGGTGGCAATATTAACAATGAAAAGGATCATTAACATGCAGGTGATGATTTTCAACAATCTCAGGGCTGTTATTTTATTACCATTTATTAAGTTTCTGGCAACTGAGTGTTGTGAATTGTTGGTGGCAGATGGTGCCTCTGAAGGGTTTATAAATACCAAGTTGTTCACTTTAGATGTATTGGATATTTCATTGTATGGCTGCTTCTGTGTGTTGGAAGGCCCAAAACAGACACTTTATGTTCAATTTGTGTCAGTAAGGAAGTACGTCTTTCTGCACACCCCTGGTGTGATCACTGATTGTTTCTGATCTGTCCATATATATGTCACTGATATTTAGTCAGATACACCCAGTCAAATAACCAGGAAAACTTGACTGATTATTCTCTGGCGTTAGTGTTGAAAGATGGGTACATAAGATAGTTCTTTTTAATCAACTTGTATATTGAAGCTTGGAAGTCATTAAGAAGGTGGGTGGGTACCCATGATGTTTTTTACATGTAAAGTTGAAGTATGTTTTGGGAGTTAATGATATAAGCAGGTCTTGAACCTCAATGGCTCCTGTTGAAGACAGATGAGAAGTTTCCCAGAAGCTAAATCCATCTGCTTGTCATGAAAATAGACGGTTATCTTCCAAAGTTAAAAATATCACTACTTGGTTACCACGGCAACCAGGAACATGCAGATTAAAGTATCCCAGAATACCCCGAGTCCTGCAGGTTTTGGTCTGGGGATGAAGACAAAGTATGGCACCTTATCTGCTGCCACTGATGTGAGCTTTTTTAACATGAGCTTATGTGATCATGCAGTGTTATATAAGCATGCTGATAAACACATTCAGGCTACTCAGTAAGAAACTGGAAACAGTTTTTGTACTTTCTTCAATAAAAAAATTGACCCTGTTTGTAATATGAATGTAATTTTGCAGTGTTTGTTCTGAAAGATAGCTGGAACATGTTCAGATGATTACATTTGAAAGATTACTTTCCCCTTACAACTATTGAATGAAGCATATTGATATTTTTATGGATGTTGAAAGTGCACTAAATGTCAGAAGCCTGATTCATTTTGATGATGTGAAGAAAGAGGACATTTGGGGCAAGGATGATTGAATCGAGTCATGGGATGCTCCACTCAACATTTCTGGCAACAGTTCTGAAGAGAATGGTAGTTAATCTATCGATTGATGGTAAATTATCTAATCACAGCACATGTGGTTGAAGTGAATCGATATTTGTACACCATATCCCATGCCTCCTCTGCTTTAATGGACATGCTGATAATGAGTACTGCTCATTTGTGTTGGTCTGTTCTTTGTCCATACAACGCTGTGGTCAAACTGAAAGGCTGACTTCTCAGTAGCATGGTATACTGGGAAACTGTAGTTAAACACGATTGGTGTTTAAAAGTGATTATGAATATTTTTTCTCACACTGACAAAGCATAAAACATTATTGTTTCAGTAGTTTGACTATAGTCCTTTGTTAAGCATAATGAGCCCTGCACATTACCATGTGTACAAAAACTTTACCATATGAGATGTCTAATAGTGTATTGACCTCAAAACTACATAACTATTTCAATTTTTCCTCAAACTTTATTTCCAAATGAATGCTGACCATTGTATCCCTTGCTGTTACCTGTGCGTCAACACTTATCTGACATGGTGAACTGATACAGCCTTTCGTTGAAACTTTTGGGGGCTTATTTACCAAATAGTTTAGATAAAATGCAATCAGGCAATGTCCAGAATAAGGAAAGCAATATGATAGAGAGATTACCGCAACATCCCAGATTATGAGGGGGATCAAATCTAAATCTTAAGCTAAGCAAGGCTCTTATTGTCTGTCGTCGGTTGTAAAGTCAACTTAACCCTCCATACCTGATTACCTTCAGTAGCATAATCCCATCTTTGATGTTGGTTATACCACTATCCATGATAGGGGGTGAGGGTTAACTAGCTAAGTAAATATGGTGTTTGTTCAGAACAAGTGTTTGGAGTGGGTCAAGACGTAAATTTGCTCAGCAGTTTCTGTGTTGGCTTGTTCTCAGATGAACATGTAATACATATGACAAGTACACCTTCTGATAACACCCATGGTGGACAGATTAACCCTCTCTGGGTCAGGCACACATATCCCAAGAATGAACAGAAGCTTAAGATGATGATGAAACTCTGATACTTTTTCATTTTCTCAACTGCATTGTGCTTGAGGTCCTCATGTGCTTTGATGGGCATTAGAATCAGGACATTAGCATTCTCATGTAAATGTCTAATTGACTAGTTGATAGGTTTACGAACTTCACATTCAAACATACAAATCTCATTATCAGCGATTACATCTAACATTCCTGATGTTATTGTTCAAGGAAACTTGTATATGATCATAATCTATCTTGATTGTTGTAATCAGGTTTGAACATTTATGTTGTAGATATGCTAATTCTCCCTGTTATGTTTGCAGGTGGTGACTACATGCGTTCCTCAGGTCAGCAATGAACTGGTAAGTCCACTACTAGTTTCATCAGTTTCTGTACAGCTGGTTTCCTTGAGGCATCTGATTATTGTGTTGGGTGTTACAGTATGGCTCACATTTGGAAAGACTCCTCAGACCTGTCCAAGTTAAAAGGGAAATGTCAGAAAAAAAGGTCAGAAAGTTGGCAAAGTCTCTGATTAGGTGAATGTGTTAGAATCATTTCTTTCATTCTGATTTGTTGCCTTGCAATGTGAAGACATAGTTTCTGAGTCCATGAGGCCATGATTTGCAGGGGAATGTTGGTTATAATTCCTGTTCATGTGAAATGGAACACCAGTTTGTTTGGTAGGTAATAGGATAAGTGATTTTGCCATGGTTTGCATCTAAAACTGTTAATCTCTGAGGTCAAAAAGGACAAAGTTCTCAGATATATTCTCTGTAGTGCTGCTCATTCACTGAAGGAGAGCCTTATACCTTTGATAATTTGTGCCATTGAAAGTTGAGCTGATAGAATTCAAACATTTCTTCAAAGATTTCATCATGCATGTAAGCCAGTAAAACCTGTCTCATTCTTCCCCAACAGAAGTGTGTTCATAGAGATGAATATTTGCATTTAATTTTGAGGGATTTTATATATGAGGTTAAATATAATAACCTAAGAACTTGCATTCATGACAGTTGTGTGTAAGTGGCAAGTGCATTGCTAAGGTAATGAAGCGTACCTCAGGGAGATGGCCTGGCTCCCTCTCTTTTATTCAAGGTCGCTCACTTTATTGATACCGACCACTTGCTGAGTTTATGGTCCACTTCAAAAACATTTCATGTTCATAGATATGGTTGGGAACCTTCAAATGTCTCCATCGCATGGAGGTGAGGAGCTGAAGACCTTACTAATCTGAAATAGATCAGGTTACACCAGATGGACTTAGGACTTTCAATGGAGTAACTAAAATTGATCAGAAAAGATGGGGTCTAATTTTCAAATTAATCTGTATATCATATAAAAGGATATATCATATTTCAGTGTATTTCTTATATTTATATGTAAGTAATTTAACATTTTGCTTGTCTCAAGGAGGATTGAAATTTGCAAGTTTAAGGGTGGACATATTCTGAATACCTGGCTCAAGGTGTTGTATGACACAGTTGACCTGGATAGTTACAACTCTGTAACCCTCAGGAGCTGAGGAGACATGACAGCATTACCAGAGCAGAAACAAACTTTGACCTAAATCAACATTTTCCAGTTTATGTAATAAAATCGTAAAAAACTGAATTCAATTCATCATAACGTGTATGCAAATTCATTCCTCTTTAGTTGACACCTTAACAACAAGTGGATAAGAATCTTAGAAGGAATTGAGGTATTTTGTTGAAAGGTTTAAGGGGTAGCGTGTTGTAGCACCGCCCACACTTTCCGCTTTGCCTTATTAGCAGGCATACAAACTAAATCAAATACTGTTACTAGATTTGATGTGTTGCCTGAGGGATTACTAACTAAGCGTTATAGATATGAACAAAGATGTCTATGTGTGGATATGTCATGGTTTACTGACTAGGTCATGCAGGTAAGTCACCATAACATTTCTGTGCCTCACACGCACATTGCCTGCCACAGGTACGCCATGATGTGGACTGGCCACATGTTGTAGCGTTGTGTAGCGAGATACAGCCATGTTACGGGATGGGCAGTATATGCTGGCCTCTAATACAGCTTCAGTTTCTTGAACTGTTCACCCCAATGACTTTGTATTCTGAATTTAGAAATTTGGTAATCATTTACCTGTAGTCACATGTTCAGGTGACTTTAGATATACATGACTTTCTTCAGTTTTAGGCATCAGACATATTTGGACCTAAATATGAAAAAAAAAATTAAGAATGGATAATTCATTCTAGTATTCATAAACTTAGGTTAGTTGGAAGAAAAATATGAAATGATACTGTTATGACATTGTGATGTAGTGAAAGACACCAGTCACTTCAGTCAATTTCCAGGCATGCTACGCATTCAGCTGTCTTGTATCAGTAAGTCATCATCAGTTGTATACGTGCCATCATTGGTATCATAGTATTTCAAGGCTGAAGACAAATCTACATCAGCTTGTATTGAACAATATCTCTCAACTAGACTGTAATATTTGTTGAAATATCTTACTAAAAACTAAAGTTGGTGACCCCATTCCTCAGTACCCTCCTCCATGAGGTTAAAGGTGAACCTCCCACTGACAAGGAAGAGCTTCTCAGTGTTGTGGTTAGTGGGGGCTGTAGAGAGATGAATTGGACCACTGATGCAGCGGACGGTAGGAATAGGAGGGGCACAGGGAGGGGGATGCATTCAAATTGATTAATATTTTATCTTTACAGCTTGTCAAATTTTCTGTAATATAATCACTTTATGCTTGTATAGTTGGTAATGATTTCTTGGAGACTGCTGTTAAACCCATAATAAGTAACCCGATATCTGTACAAGTAGAAGCTGTCAATTATGATACTCTGCTTTCATAATTAATGACAAAATATTTCTGCCTAAACATACATATAGCTATCCTCCATCTACTCTGCCCAATATCCTCTCCTGGTTCACAAGGCTTGAGGAAAAGATGGGTGCATCTTGGTCTAATTTTAGCCCAACCTGAAATAAACAGTCCCATTTGATGGGGGTTGGTTTGTGCCAGGGAAGATAGTGTCAGATTTCTGTCTGAACCTCCTGCAGGAATCGGCAAGCCACTGGTATCACTTCAGGTTAGTACCAAGGTTTTTCCAAGCTTCTACAACCTCTTAAACCTCACTTTTTCATGTCCTGATATCAGGGACGCCTTGGCTACTTTATCTGTTATGTTGCTTAATGATGGGGTTCTGCGCAGATAAGTTTGAGTGTTGAAGTCAATCTGTTTGTGATGGTGTGCACTGTCTGTTTACGAGATATTTATATACATACCAATGCAACCCTGTGTCTATACACATCTATTTGTGTAGATTTTTATATTGCTGGCAACTGTGTTACAGTGTGTTTCTTGTTGGGAGTGTCTACGATGCAGAAAAAGTTTAACCTCATATTGCAACCTAGACTTGCTAGGACTCTTGCTAATTAACATGGCTGAACTGAACCAGGATGATCCAAACATGTCCAGTTGTGACGTGCAAGCTGGAGGCTAGGAAACAAAATTGTTTGATTTTCTTGTAAGAACGACCTGACCAGAGTGTGAATGGCTTGTATTGTGTGTAAGGCGAGTCTGTCACTGTTTTTGTGGCAGAGTGACATTGACTGAGATGCACAGTTGCCTCAAAGAGTTCACCAGAAAACAGATGTTACAAGGGATACTCCTCTACTGAACTCTTATGTAAAACTTCTCCCTATCTTCAAGGAGTGGAGACACTGAAAAGAATTGTTTTTAAGGGGACATCTCAAAATCCATTGACCCATTTTTCTACACTACATTATGAGGGTTGTAGTACAGATAGGTTATGTTGCATATATTACACGTGGAAATACAAGCATTATTACAGGTAACAGAGGTATGGGGACATTGGGAACCCTAGTGGTTAAAGTATTTTCACATCTTAATGAGTGAGCTAGTTAAACTTTAACGTAACATTGGCATATCTCCAGCCATATAGCAACAAAACATCTTAATGAATTGGGGTTTGATTCCCCCTTGTGTCGAAAACCATTCTTGATATCCCCATTGTGATCTTGCTGTGCTTTGTTGAAGGTTGCAAGACCAGGCTCACTGTTGTGATAGGTGTCATTGTATACTGTATGTTATTAAATTCTTCAGCCACTCTTGGACTGATTGAGTTGGAATCCAAGATTTGCCCCAATTATGATCTTGATCACCACTGTACTTTCACTTTAATCTTTTACACATTAATACCCCGTTATGATATTGCTGGAATATTGCTAAAAGTGGCGTAAAACCATACTCACTCACACATAAATATGTGTCTCTCAATGCTGTGTTAGACCTTGTTCACTATCATGTATATGACACGCAAGGCCATTTGTAATGTTGAGGTGCTTTTACGGGTAATAAGCAGTTAAATATGCATGTTGACAATTTCGGAATAATGAATTTCAGCTATTTTATCAAAGATAAAAAAAGGCATTAAATGATTAAATAAAGTATTTCCTTATCATGGATGTGGGTGTAACCTTCCAAACTTGATCTTGTAAGTGAGAAATTTCTTCTCATAATTTTGCACTTGACGTTTGTTGTTGAAATATGCTGCAGGTAGATGTGTAGGAAGCATATCCATATCACAATAAGCATGTTCTGGTAGATCCGTGTCAGACTGGTGGTTGGATAGAAACACATAACATTCAATCATGGAGGAGAGTCCTATGGATATACAACTTATTTATTTTTAATATGAGCGACATTTCAGTGTAGCTACTGACCCCGTTATCACATCTTGAAGAGAAGAATTTTTTTTAAAAGTTTGACTTGATCATGATGATATTTGAAAGCTATTTATGTGTCATTTTATATAGCTGAGAACTATTTCATAAGGACAGGGATTTTCACATGAGATCTTCTACAACCCTTCTCACTGAAATGCACATTTCTATGATAATGTACCGCCCACAGAGATTGAAGCAATATCCGGGGTTCACTACAGCTAACATTGTATACACTTCATTATGTTCAGGCAGCCTACATTTAGATTAGTGTGAGAATTGAATCTTACATGTCGAATATGAAGCTACTTCCAGTTAAAAATATGTTTTTTAGAGAAGGGCATCTTTGTATCTACATATACAGGCTCTAGTGAATCTTTTATATCTACATATACAGGCTCTAGTGAGAAGGGCATCTTTTATATCTACATATACAGGCTCTAGTGAGAAGGGCATCTTTATATTTACATATACAGGCTCTAGTGAGAAGGGCATCTTTAATATTTACATATACAGGCTCTAGTGAGAAGGGCATCTTTATATTTACATATACAGGCTCTAGTGAGAAGGGCATCTTTAATGTTTACATATACAGGCTCTAGTCTTTATATTTACATATACAGGC